ATGCAAGAGTTTTTTTGTTTGTTTTTGAAACAGAGTCTTGCTCTGTTGCCCTGGCTACAGTGCAGTGGTGTCAGAATACCTCACTGCAACCTCAAACTTTCCTGGGCTCAAGTGATTCTCCTGCTTCAGCCTCCCGAGTAGCTGGGACTAAAGACACATGCCACCACGTCTGGCTAACTTTTTCTATTTTTGGTGGAGACAGAGTCTCGCTCTTGTTCACGCTGGTCTCGAATTCCTGAACTCAAACGATCTGCCCGCCTGGGCCTCTCAGAGTGCTGGGATTACAGGCGTGAGCCACCGTGCCTTGCCGAGTATTGTTTTAATACAGGTATGGAAGAGGGTTCAAATCAGTGCCCACTCCTCTGTGGGCATAAACGAAAGAAACAGGGTAAGGAGGGCTGTGTCTTATAAGGTCACTTAGAGGGACAGGCACAGCGGGGTGGGGCTGGCTGAGAGGGAGAAGGAAGCACTTTCCACTTCCTTACTGGAGAAGGAAGGTCTGGAAGCAGAGCTCGGCAAGCTGCTCCAGGAGTCCCGAGCTTCGGTGAGATGGAGGGGCCTGGCCAGGGACAATACCCCCACACAGGCGCCTTCCTGGGAGGACCTCATATCCTGGCTGAGAACCCCTCACTTCCTGCTGCTGCTGGAAGGGCAGAGGGTGGGAGGGGAAGTGGGATTTTGGTCCTAGTGGGGCCACCACCCTTGATGGGACAGTTGTTTGGGGCAGTCAGCACCCCATCCCTGACTCTTGCTTTTGAGGGATGTGTAACAATGGCAGCAACTCTCTGCTGAGCACCGACTGTCAGCCGCGTTCGTTCGTCTCAGGGGCAGTACACAACACGAGAGCCCAGCTTCCCAGATGAGCCGGAGGTGCAGATGATTTGCCCAAAGCCCCACGGCTAGAATGCAGCGGGCTGTGCCCCAAACCCCAACCCAGGGCCCGCCTGCCAGCAGAATTCCACAAAGTCCCTGACTCTCACCACCCGCAGCTCTCTGGAAAGATGCTTTGAAGACAAACTATTAATAGGACGGAGCACGTGGCCCCCATGTCTCTTGCCCAAGTCACTATTCTCCTTAAAAGATAAATAACCCCAGTCCTTGCCTTTTCCTACACATAAGATACCATCTGATGAGGTTAGTGATTGTGCCTCCGTGATCTGTGACCAGATGTTCTCTTGCACACAAACTGTGATGTGATCTTGCACGGACTGAGCCTCCTCTGCTTGTCCGTAGCAGTGGCTGGAATCCCACGCGGAGCCGCGTGACAGACCTCTCCAACCGCTGCTCCCCAGCCGTGGGCCTCCGTCTATAGGCCTTGGTAAGACTTCTGAATAAAACTAATTTTAATTCTTTAGAAGCTTGATTTCTTTTTTCTTTAATGGATAATCAGATACAGTCTAAGGGGGGAGGAGAGGAACATTCCAGAAAAAGAGCAAAAATTCCAGTTCCCAGTTTCCCTTTGGGGAGTACAGTCCTGTCTTATCTTCACTTCAAATTCTCCACCGCCCTGGGCTTGCCGATACACGTCCCAGACTTCTGGTCTCAGGACCCCTTTCCACTCTTAAAAATTACTGATGATCTCAAAGAGCTTTTGTTAATGTGGATTATAGATATTGGTATTAAATATTTGCCATATTAGAAATCAAAACTGAAAATTCTTTCGAAATAGGTCTTTATTAGTTATTTAAAATATCCATAATAATCCCATTACATGTAAACACAAAATAACAGTTTTAATGGAAAAGAACTATATTTTCAAAACAACAAAAAGACAATGTGTAAAACAGCACTGTTTTCGCAAGTTTCTGTGATGTCTGCCTTCACTGAAAACAGCTTGCTTTCTCCTAGCTGCTTCTGCATCAGTCTGCTGGGATGGGTGGTTTGAGTGAGGTCTTTGGAGATGGTCCCGCCTCACACAGAGAAGAGGTTAGAAATAGCAGGGCCTCACTGGCTGCTGACAGGGCCCCAGGGCCCCTCAGGGACCCTCCATCACGCTGGGAAATGCTGCTCTCACTCTGGCCCAGTGTCACAGCTGCTGCCCGCCAGCCTGATCCTTGTTCCCACCCCTTACCACTCTCCAAAGGTTCAGTATCCCCAAGCTCTGGTCCCACCCTCTGCAGGACACACAAGCCCTCTCACACCTCCTGACCTTTGCATTTGACCCTCCCTAGGCCTAGGATTCCTTTCCCTTCCTTCTCTGCCCAGCAAACTCTTACTCAGCCTGGAGACTCAACTCCCTGAAGCCTGCCCGAGTCACCTCCCTCCATTCCCAGGCATGGAAGGTCGCCCAAGCCTGAGGCTGCCGCCCACTGACCTCTCCTCCCCCTGAAGGGGCAGGCAGTTGGCAGGCAGCTCCCCAGAGGTAGGGAGGCCTCTCGTTCCACTCTGCCACGCTGGGTGCACAGCCAGCCTGCAAATTGGGCTTTGTGCAATAAAGGCACTTGATCATGGAGGGAAGGAAGAAAAACTCCTGCTTCTTAGGCAATGGGACCTGCTCCAGACAACACCTGGCAGGCCGCTCCTGCAGTTTTTTCCCCTCTAGCCTCCTCTCGGGGCTGAGGCCCTAGGAGGGGGAGAATTCAAACCTATTATATGCGCTTCTCTCTACCTATGGGACAGCCTGGCTGGGATCCAGCTCCCCTGCCGTGACTGTGGGAGCAGGAGACCATCCCCGAGCCCTGTGTGTGTGTGCACGTGTGTGTGTGCACACGTGTGCTAGGGGATATCACAAGCTCTGCCTGCAGGAACCTGGTGGGAAACAGAACAGGTGATGCCCCAGTGGCCCAGGACAATAGGAAGTAGCCGGGCCTCGGTGAAAGGGACTCAGTGCTGGGAATTCTTACTTTTAGGTGAAATCTTCAGATTTTTAACTATTGTCCTAAATTCATAAGGTGCCATGTTGGTCAAAGGACATCTGCAGGCCTCAGGCCACCTTGCTGGGTGGGGGTGGGAGGAGAGGGACTCCGCCAGGGCACCGTGTCTCGCACGCCCTCACCTGGCACCCCAGCTCCTTCGGGGAGTCTCACTCGCCCTGTGAGCAGCTGTGGCTGAGAATTTCCCCAATGCCCTCGGCCCCACCCCTGGGGAGAGAGCACTGAAGCAGAGCAGGCACCCTCAGGAGCGGGTCCCTGGAGCCTGGAGGGACCTTGGCTGTCAGGGGAGCTCAGACATGGGGAGGTTGGGGGCTTGCCTGAGGTGGCGCAGCCAGCCCCGACCTCGAGGCAACGTGGACACTCCCGGCCACCTTCCGGAACCATCTGTCAGTTGCTAACACCGCCCTGTCACTGAAACATGACATACTGCTCTCAAGCAGCCCAGCCACACTAAAAGCCACGCTCCACCCATCGTTACCTTCCACTCAGTTTTCCAGAACTCCACTCCCTCCCTCCCCAACCCTGCACAACCTCCACAGCCTTGGAGGCTTTTTCTGTAACCTGCAAATTTCACACAGTATTGAACCAGGGGGGAATTCGGTCCCGAGACTGGGATCCTAGCAAAAAATAAGCTTAAATATTGGTGTGTTCTTTCATGTGAGTTCTTTTAAATGTAATAAAATAAATAAATGGAGTGGCAGAGACAGAATCTTTACAGACGATAAATTCCTTGGAGTCCATTCTCGCCCCTGCCCTCTGCAGCGCCAGAAGGGAGGGTGGGCAGGAACAGGGGTAGATGAGACCCCAGAGCACGAGCCCCTGCACCCATTCCCCAGCCGGCAGGAGGCAGCCACTGAAGGCTGGAGACTCTGGGGCGCTGGGAGAAGTGATCCGGCCTGACGTGGTGCCTGGAATTCTACCAGCCAAGCTCTGGTTTTGAGGGCCTTTCCCTCTTCTAAAGACACTTATTAAAATGTAAATACTCTAGGAGGGAGAGACCTTCTCTGCTGGCTACCCATCTGCTGCCTGGCCACTGGCTGGACTCGGGTGCCACGGGTCATTTGCGGGCAGACAGGTCTGAGCAGAGTCTGGGGGGACAGGGGCAAGTGTGTGCCCCAGCGGGGCCCCCTTCATTTGGAAGCACAGAGGCGGCTGCCAGAGCCGGCCTGGGGGATTCAGGAAAGGCTTCCCAAGAAAGAGGCCTTCATGCTGGGTCCTGGGTTGGGAGTCGGCAGCAGTGTTAGTCAAATGAAAAGCAGGAGAGGCAAGGGTGGTGGCCAGGGGGGAGGGAACTGCCCCTGCAAAGGCCTGGAGAGGGGAGCTGCAGGTTGCTCAGGAGGGTGGGTGGAGGTGGGAGGTGAGCCTGAGCCGGTGAGCTTGGGAGCCTTGCTAAGGAGTTTGATCTTCCCACCACGAGCATTTGGGAACCACTGAAGACTGTAAGCAGGGAAGGGACCAAGTTAAGAGTTGTCGCATAGGGAAAGGAGCTGGGTGGTCAGGGATGGAGATGGAAGAGGATGGCAGGGCAGGAAGCAGGTGCCAGGATTCTGGTGAGGGATGGTGCTGCCTGGACCCGGGGTGTGACAAGCAGGAATAGGAAATGAGCAATTCATTTTTTATTTACTTTATTTATTTATTTATTTTTGAGACAGAGTCTCACTCTGTTGCCCGGGCTAGAGTGCCATGGCATCAGCCTAGCTCACAGCAACCTCAAACTTCTGGCCTCAAACCATCCTCCTGCCTCAGCCTGCTGAGTAGCTAGGACTACAGGTGTGTACCATCATGCCCAGCTAATTTTTCTATTTTTAGTTGTTCAGCTAGTTTTTTTCCTTTTTTTTTTTTTTTGGTAGAGACAGGGTCTCACTCTTGCTTAGGCTGGTCTTGAACCCCTGACCTCAAACGATCCTCCTGCCTTGGCATCCCAAAGTGCTAGGATTATAGGCGTGAGCCACTGCACCTGGCCTGGGGTGAGCAGTTTAGAGCAGGGAAGAGAGCCATGCCCTGATCCAGCCTAGGCTGAAATCATGGGGACTCTGTCCCTGAGAGCAGGATGTACCCCCTCCCTGCTGCACCAACCCCCAATCCCCCTGCCCACGGCCAAGGAGACGTGGGCCCCGTCATGGCTACCTGGCTGGCCCGGGCGATGCAGCGGCGGATGAGGTCTCTGATGTTGCTGTGCTTGTCCGTCTGGAAGTACACGGTGGCACTGGACTTCTCCTTCAGATAGGGCTTCTCAGCGGAGGCCCAGGTGTGCAGCAGGGCCGGCTCACTGCCCTCCGAGGCCACGGGGAAGTAGGTGCCCGACTGCAGGGAGCAGGAGTCGAGTCCCTTAGGGCCTGTCTCGGCCCCTCCAGGGGGGTCTGGGGCACATGGGAGCTCCTTGGCCTGGGCCTGGATGTACTGGGCCTCCACCGAGGACAAGAAGTCCACCTCGCCCTCCTCGCTGAGCACCCGCCAGTAGGCCTCAAGACCCCCATCCAAGAGGGCATCGGTGGCCAGCCGAGCACTCTCATTGTCGCTGAAGTCAGCCCTGGCTGGCCGGACCCACTGACTCTTGACATCTTCCAGGCGTTTCCGGATCTTGCCCATGTGCCTGGGCCGGCTCATGCTGCCCTGTCCCTGGGCTGCGGTGGGGCTCTCGGGCTCTGTGGGATGTGCGGAGCTGGTGGGCCACACCGCGGAGGAGCGGGGCTCCCAGCACTGGCAGAGAAGTGATTTACCTCTGTCCTGAACAATGCTTCTCAGGGATCCTGCTCTGCAGCCAGGGATTGGCTTATCTCTGAGGGACACCTGCCCTGCCCCCGGGCCAGGAGGGCTGGCTCAGTCACTGCCTTGGCACAGTCAGCCATGGGATATTTCCTCTCCTCCCAGCCGCAGGGGGAGGTGAAGGTGAGCCGGCTTTCCCACCTGGTTTCACAACTCCAGGAGCCCGGAGCCCTCAGGCCTTCATTACCAGCAGGGAGCTACCCCCAGCACCTTCAGCCCAGCCGAGGAAGGGCCCGGAGCAGGGCCCGTGCCTCTGTCCCCTGGGCTCCTCGGCTCCATGATGGCTGGCTCAAAGACAAGAGTTTCCTGGTGGGGGAGGTGCTGTCCTGAGAGGCGCTCCTGTGAGGAGGGAGCTGGTGCAGGCCAGGGGGAGATGCTCACCGGGCCCCTCTTGTCCTTTGTCACACCTGAAGGCCCACCCTCTCTGGCCCATGAAAGGAGAGACTCTTACTATCTCCTGTAATGTACTTGTCATTGTCATGTTTGCACAGAGCCCACAAAGATGTCCAGTTCCAGGGCCAGCGCTGACCTGTTGGAAGCGGCTGCTTGGAACACCATCTCGAGAAGAATCCGAATCTGTGTCTAGGCCCATGTGTCCAGGGGACCCATCTGTCCTGGCACTGGAGGGGGAGGGGAGCACATGGGTTGGGGTTCTCTGAACACACGCTCTGAAGGGAATGACCACATTTTCTTTCCAGATCAGACCATGGCCTGACAGTGGGATGGGATATCTAGAATCCTCACTGTCTTTGACTGGGTTCTGCGGCAAACAGGCAGAGACTAGGATTCGAGCACCAGTAGTTCACTGGAAGGTGATTCCGAGAAGCGCAGAGAGGGGAGTGGGGAAGTGAGAGGGAAGAGAAGGACGCCACTCTAGGGTAAGATGATGAGCAGGTCACTGCCGTGGACACCTAAGGTTCATGGACATCTGTGGGGACATCTGGAGTTCAATCCTATGGGACCCTCTGGGTGACAGTATAGAATACTTCTGCGGGTTTTCCTACCCAAAGGGTGAGAAAGCTGCAGCATTTAGCTACAAACCCCCGTTTATCACTGGTGAGGGCTGCTCCCGGGGTTGCAAGTTCACCAAGCACAGCCGTGAAGCCAGAGAAAGCCGTGAGGCAGGGAGTGTCCAGTGCTCACCAGCGGAGACCGGCGCGGGAGTGGTGAGTAGCGGAGGGATGAAAGCAGGGCGTGACAGTATCTGCTCAGGAACCACAGTGGGAAGCGGGATTGCACGGTCTTCAGAGAGCCGGGTATGGCAGGAGGCAGATGTCTCAGTGGCGTATTGACTCTTTGGAGGAAAACGGGCATGAGCATCTGTCGCCCTACTGTGGCCCAGGCGGCTCAGTCCAGTAGTACAGCAGTGTTTTTTAAAACACGGTCCAAAGAGGAGGAAAGTAATTTGAAAGGAATTTCTTCTCTCTTTTGAAGGATGTTGAAGGAATCCACTCACAATCTTGGGCAACCGCCCTTCATTCTATTCTATCTCCTCCCTACAATCCCTGGAGCCTTAAAGAGGACAAACCCAGTAAACCTGCTCCCACCGCCTCCTTGGTGCCATGCCCTCTCTCTCTGCCTTCTGCCAACTCTTGTTTCTGAGATTGACATGAGCTTTTTCCCCCACTTCCTCTTCCCACCTTCCCTCCTCTCTGGTCTAGTCTGTGTCCCCCTTGGTCCATTCTCTGATTCTGCATCGCCCAGATCCAGTCCCCAGCCTAGTGAGACAGACTCAGGGGAGGGAGTAAAAATCCGTGGATTTGCTCTGCTCCCACGTGAACTCTCCAGCCTGGCTTCTCCTGCACTTAGCCATCATTGAGTGTTCTCTGCATGCTGGCTCCCTGTACTGAGGGAGAAATGGATTATTAGGCTTCATTTCGTAGAATAGGAAAGCAAGGCTCAGAGAGGTTGAGTAACTTGCCCAAGATCACACAGCTAATAAATGGCAGGGCCCAAGCACTGGAACCCCAGAGCCTACGTACTTTCCACTGTGCCAAGCTTCACTCGTTTTTTGTTTTTCCCATTCTCCTTCCCTTTCTACTCTCAAGCTTTACACATCCGCTTATTGGTTCCAGAATGTGTGTAGGGGAGAATTTAAAAAGTGGGTGGGTATTCTGGTGTTCTCCTCTCACCTGGACCTGATTTTCCTTCTTGGATGAATAAATGATTGAGTACCCCCCTGAGAGAGAGGTGGGTCTTTGTGGCCTGTAGGGACAATTTTCTTCCTATCCTTTTGCAGAGCAGCTCTTAAAAAAAAATAGAATCTTTCAGTGGGACCTTCTCCTGTAGACCCCTGCTTCTCCTGTTCCCAGCTCCTGGCCCTCACGCAGGCCCCAGAGATTCTGGCTGAGTCCTTAGAACAGTCAACAAACACACTGTATGTGTGGATACGACTCGTCCCCCAATCCCTGCACCTTGGCAGACATTATTAGCTGATCACAGAACTCTTTCCTAGTGGGCTGAGAGCTATGTCCTCATCTCTCTTTATAGGGATTGTCTTAATCTATTTTATGCTGCTATAACAGGACACCACAGCCTGGGTAATTTGTACTTCACAGACATTTATTTGGCTCATGGTTCTGGAGGCTGAGAAATCCAAGAGCATGGTGCCGGCATCTGGTGAGGCCTTCATGCTTTATCATCCCATGGCAGCAGGCGGAAGGGTGAGAGAGCAAGAAGGGGCCAAACTTGCTTTTACAACGAATGTGCTCCCACGATAATGACATTAAACTATTCATGAGGGCAGAATACTTGTGACCCAGTCACCCTTAATTATGCTCCACCTCCCAACACCGTTGCCTTGGGCATTAAGTTCCCAACATGTGACCTTTGGGGGACACATTCAAACTAGAGCAGGGATCAAAGAGAAGGCCTCACCTGGAAGGAATCTTGAAGGTACAGCAAGATCCCAGTTTACTGAATTTCTGATGAGAAAACCGTGGCTCAGAAAGGGGAAGTGACTGTTCTCAAAGTCACCCAGCTGGTTGGTGATTGTCATCAGCTTAGTCCTCATCCCTCCCCTACAGCCCAGCCCTGTGAAATGTCGTCACTCTGGCTGGGTGTGCTGGCGGCAATGGCAAACTCCCCTGCCCGGGATTGCACTTCTGAACCAGGAGGCACGTCCATGTGGTTACGGGCACTATGGATCACGGGGACTTTGCTTCTCTTCTCGCCTCCTATGGCCATCTCGAGTGTGGCTGTCTCCTATTCATGAGCTAATCCAGCAAGGAGGGGCACCGTGAGGAGCTGGGCTCCTATCAGCAAGTGAGTGGTGTCCTGAAAATTCCATTTATCTAGGGTAATATTTCTCAACTGTAGGCAATTTTGGCCCCCCACTTAGGGGACAGCTGGCAATGTGTGTAGACGTTTTTGGTTGTCACACTGGGGAGGGGGTGGTGTTGCTAACTGGTACAGGTGAGGTAAGCCAGGGATGCTGCCACATCCTATGATGCGTAGGACAGGCCCCACAACACAGAGCTACCTGGCCCAGAACATCAGCAGTGCTGACGCTGAGGAACACTGGTCCAGTGCCAGGCCTTCATGCATGGGTGACACCAACCTAGTGCCTGACACGGGAGATCCAGTTCCCTGCCTTTGTTCAGTCCCTTCCCTCAGCAGGAAGTCCTCGCCTCTGCCATGACAACTTACTCAAATCTTTCTCAGCCTCTGAGGTCTGTCTCGAATCCTACCTGTGCTGGGGAGCTTCCTTGGCACCTGCCAAGCGGCTGCAATTGTCCTCCTCTGAGTGAGCAAGGTGCTTGAAGAACATGTCTCAGGCAGTCTTGTCCCTTGAGTGGTGCTACGGCAAAAGGCTCACCTGGGCTTTGGCGTTGGGCACAACTGAGTCCGGACTGTGCCTGTGGTAATATGTGACCTTAGGTAGGTAATGTAGAGGACCTCGATGAACTTCGCTTTTCCAACCATACAAAACCAGCTGACATTTATGGAGCGTGTCCTGTGTGCTAGGTGCTGTTCTAAATGTTTTCCATGTGCTGACTCATTCAGTCCTCACGACAGCACTGTGAGTAAGTGCTAGCACCATCTGTTTCATGGATGGAGGAAATTGAGGCACAGAGGTGACCTCAAAGGGCGTGAGAGCTAAGGGAGCCGGACTGGGTGATCAATGAGCAAACCTCATCCAGTTTGCGCTTGGCTCTTTAGCCTGAGAGTGCCAATGTTTCTTCTGAGCTTTTTACATAGTCGATACACTGTCCAGCAATGTTATGTCTTGCCTTCTTTTTTGCTTAGCATTACTCAGAAATGTATTTTTCATATCATTAAAAATGTGCATGCTTCCCCCCTCCACATCTCCCCTTCTTTTTCTTCCTGACCAATTGAGTCCTAAAGTCATTGGGTTGTCAGAGCAAGGTGGGCGTCAGTGGTAGGGAAGGGGCTTGGTGGCTCAGAACAGGTGTCGGAGCCAGGCGAGGAGGTGCAGGAGGGCGAGGGGATGAGGGGATGTCCTCGCAGGGGGCAGTCGGAACCCAAGCAGGGCAAGGAGGGCGTCCACGCAGGGAGCGGGGCAGCCTGTAATGGGTGTCAGAGCTCGAGCTGGAAGAGGCAGGGGAGAGATGGGAGATTGGATAGATACAGGGGCAGTGATCAAACAAATAAATATATTAAGGATAATAGAAACCAGCTTTCTTACTGTCAGAGGAGGGAGTTACAAATACAGAAGGGACTCATTAGTGTTGAATATGAATTGGAGGTACTGATTTGTACTCAGTTTTCAATAGAGATAGATAAATTTAGAAATTAAAAAGTATATAAATTCTAATATGTAAACTATAGATAAATATATTTATAAATATATAAAATGAATTATATAAAAACATATGCCTGAAAAAAAACATATGCCTGTAATCCTAGCACTCTGGGAGGCCAAGGCGGGTGGATCATTTGAGCTCAGGAGTTCGAGACCAGCCTGAG